AAATTGTTTCTTATAATCGTGACACAAATTAAAATGTACCAGCAGCTTAGGAGCCGATAGCGACCGTGTTTTCCACCAACGAACATGTGGACAATCAGACGTCCTGAGGTAACCCAGCCCCCCACCTCCGCCACCCACTACCATTCTGTTCATGTTTGATTAGTGAACACAGTTGATACGAGCGCTGAAAGGAGATGAGAGAGTCGGAGCATGCCTTAGCAGCTTCTTTCTGTCGCCATCTCACGGCCTGACATTTGGTGAAAGCTGCACACAGCCGGAGGCACAGGGGTCACCGGTACTCACACAGAGTGACATGCAGATGTGTGCTTTGCATGCATGCAGGGATTTGTGCTTGTTTTGAATCAGTGTGTTGAAGTCTGCATAAGCACACACAATGGTTGCACTTTTGCTGATAAAGCAGAGCCTGCTGCACACCTTATCAGGTCTAGTGAACACATCAAGCTCATCATCCTCAGTACTTCTACTGTTTTTGGTCGTAACTCCTTTTGCTAGGCTGCAAAGTGGCTCAGTGGTTAGCACTGTTGCCTCGCAGCAAGAAGGTCGTCGGTTTGCGGATCTTCCTGCATGGAGTCTCCATGTTCTCCCCGTGCAGCATGGGTTCTCTCTGGGTTCTCCGGCTTCCTCCCACAGTCCAGAAACATGCTGAGGTTAATTGGTGATGCAGCAGCTAACAACTGGAACAACTTAGAAAACACTCTCAACTCCGCTCACCACCTTCAAGCATCACGCCAGACTTTATTTACATCCTTATACATACACACACTTTCTTACACCTCATGCACATCTTTCTTCATGCACATGCCTCCATGCTTCCTACTTGTTTACTTTTGTTCTATGTCATGTTTATGCGTCTATTTGTGTTTGTCATTTACATGTGTTTGTTCCTGCAGGCGCCTCTTGGCCAGATCATGAACTGGTTCTCAAACTGCTGAAATAAAGGTCAGATAAATCTAAAATAAAAATGTTTGCTTGTCCACAGTCCTGCTGAGGAGCAACATCGTTCTTTCCCTCCTCTCTCGGACCCGCTCTGTCTCAAAGCAGGTGCTGAAATGAGACACTAAATAACTATTAGAGGACGGGCAGGAGAAGGGGAGGAGAATGAGAGAAACCAGGAGAGCACTTCCCCAACAGTAGCAGAGAGGGAGAGGGAGGGAGGAGAGAGAGAGCCGAGGAGCTTAGAGAGGGGATCTGCATTGTAAGTAGCTCTGAGAGCAGCAAGTGGTGGCTCTTTTTCAAACTGCTTTTGTTTTTGTGAGACGCAAAAGAAGAAGAAGAAGAAGAAGGAGGAGAAGGAGAAGAATCGAGTCCTGAGAGTGCAGTTCGGGAAAAGTCTGCGTTTAACAACAACAACAAAAAGAAGCTGAGAGGAAAAGGGAGGAGAGAAGCCGGGAGGAACACAAGGCAGCAATGGATAGCGGAGTGGCTCGCTCTGACCCTGGGATGGCCTGGATTCACACACTGCTGCTGCCGCTGGCCACCGTCCAGCACACACACTAGGCTGCTAACGCCACCGAGGTACGGCTCTGAACAAACAGGAACAATAACTGTCAGATAGCGAACGAGGGGATGAAATCTGCATTCACAGTCCAACTTGTAGCCTGTACCTGCTTCTGTGGGAGTGAAAGTTGAGCTGCGCTGTTTGTCTGAGAGGCAGCCTGAGCTTTGTGTGGAGCTGTGCAGCCTGTCAGGTGCATTTATCTGACAAACTGTTTTTTATATAATACAGAGAAAGACTTGGGTCATCAGTAATCAACAGAAGCAGACATTTAAATAAAGATTCTGAGCTTATGCACAGGTATCGTTGAATTAAATGTGAAATTTGACAGTTTTAGTATTAATTTAGTTTTGTTTTTGGAGCAGAGAGCCAAACATCCAGCTCAGGTAGAGGCTCACATCAAACCTGTGACATTATTTGCTTTTTTTAAAAATTCTTTTATTCTCTTGGGAGATTTTTGCTTTTTGCATTTATAACGTTTGCAGCAGCTCCCTGGGAAGTGCAGAATGAGGTGAGCCTTAAATGTGATGGCTACAGTGCAACAATGAGCCGCTGCAGAGCGGGGCAGGTAAGTGCTTGTCTGGAATATGCTGGATGAGGGGTTGTTAAAAAACTGTACATGGCTGAAAGTTGGCGCCCAGGCGAACTCATTCTGCTCCTCTCTGGAATATTTTAGCATAAGTCTCAAACACATTCTGTTGCTTCAGGCAAAAAAAAAAAGAAAAAGAGCCTTGAGTTGTTGGCATTGTGTGTGACTGTGTGCGTGTTGGCCTTTACACACATGAAGGCATGTGTTAGTGTCCTCATATACATACGTGTGTGTGTTCAGTCATGTAGAGAAGCCAGTCAGGGGATAACCAGCAGCACAGTGATGACACTCAGCAGCCAGGTTATGATTTATAATACTGTGGAGGCTGTTCTGGTCCAGGTAGAGTGTGGCCTCAATCCAAAGCAGATTAACACCCTCCAGACTTACTCTCAACATCTTTCAGACACCATGAGCAGGAGGGTAAGCTGAGGTGATGGCTGCCGTTCTGTCTGCCGTCCTGATGACTCAGTGTGTTGTCATGTGAGTCTGCTGCTGCTGTGTGATGGTCTGGAGGTGCATATTTTGGCTGGAGCACAATTAGATAGCTGTGGGTGTTTTTGGATTACCTGACTTACTGCAGTGTGTCTGACTCCAGCTCACCCTCTGCACATCGGTGGTACCAGCTCAGAGCATAAATCAGGGCCTTGAACTGTGTGATGGACATCTGATAGCATTTTTCTCTTCACACTGCAGGTTTTTGGGATGACTGACTTCCTCTAAGCTTTTACAGAGTTTCTGGCCTGTAAGTACACAAACGTGGGTTTGATTTCACTCGGCGTGCCCGTTCATATCACCCTCAGATTTATAACTCAGCTCAGGCCTTCTTTCCACTTCCTCCTTCCCCCACAACTGTATGTCTGGAGAGCACCTGCCCCATCACCTGCCACTCAGACAGCGGCTGTCTGAGCGTGTGTGTGTGTGTGTGTGTGTGTGTGTGTGTGTGTGTGTGTGTGTCTATATGGCCACACCTCGCCCTCATCCACACCTTCCCTCCCTCCCCCTCCCCAGCTAGCCTCTGTGCTTTATGGCTTCACACTCACGTGCACTAAACATGTTCTGCTGCTGCGTCGCTCAACACGACTGGGTTTTGTGCGCTGACCTGTTTTCGTCAGATCAGGAGGCATCATCAAGTGAAAACAACCTGAGTGCTGCTGATGCTTTAAACAGACTTTGTCACTTTCCTGCACTTCTGGCTTGTGGCCTAAATAGCAGCGGCTTTAACAGCCCATAATAGCAGCCTTTGGTCCCGCACGTGTGTCGCTGAGTTTCTTTGTTTGTCTCCTGCTTCGGCTAAGCGGTCAATTTCAGAGGAATGAGCGTGCCGAGTCATCCAGGGAATGTGGAAAAGTGTCTCTGTGTGTCAGAGGGTCTCATCTGGGGGTAGCGTGGCCCTCTCAGCTTGGACGTGAACTTGTGTTGGAACCTGGACTGTAAAACAGACCACCTACCGAGTTAAAAGCTTGTGCATCCAGATAGTAATGATACAGTCGTGCCACGGCTTTGATTTGTTGGAATAAAAGTGCACTTTGAGAAGACTTTGACCCCCTGAAAGCCTGAAGTTTCACAGTTTAGAGCTCTGGTTCTGTCATTCATTAGTTAATCTGTGTGTCAGGGAGCATTTGGCTCATACATGAAGGTTAAAACAGACTGAATTTTGAAATTTGAGCCCAGAGGCGATGTGTGCTGAGCGCTGCCCTGACTGTGCTGCTGCACACCTGTCTAGCACCGAAGCCTTCGGGTTTTTTTCCATTTGCCCGGCATAATGCAGCGTGTTTCACGTTATACTCATGCAACATACATGTCTGCCTTCAGACGCCGTGCCTCTTCATAAAAATTAGTTTTGTGTGTTTCTTTGCTCAGCTGAAAAAAAGAAAACAAGCAGATGTTGATCTGATATTCAGCAGCAGCAACATTTTTTTGTGCCTTCAAGGCGAAACGCCCTCGTTTAAATCATCATTTTTGTTTAAGTTTAAAAGTTTACACCTTTAACTGTTGCCTAAAGAGGAACAGCGTCTGAATGGTCATCTTGCTAGGTGTGTTCACTTCTACCTGATCACATTTCAAAACAACAGACGGCTTGTCCATACCTGTCCAGATAATAAAAGCAAGGAGTCGGGTGGAGGAGCTCGAACGGGGAAAAGTGGAGCAGACGGCTGGAAAGCAGCGAAGAGGAGAACGTGCACGAACACAAGAGCAGATGAATGCAAGAGACGCATCAGCAGTTTGACGTAAAGTAGGTCATCCTCCTGAGAGCTCAGTGGCAAAGGATCAGATCAGAATCAAAGTGTTCTCATTGACAGTTTGAGTGCAACAAACCGAAGCTGCTGCTGCTTTTTAACACATTTAGAGAAAAAAACACGACCAAAAAACGAAGCCACAGCAGATGCATGAAAAGCTCGCCTTCTTTGTTAAACATTTACTAGAAAGCTGCTGAAGAAACAAGCGAAGGATGTAGTTGGTGATGTTCTATATCTTCCTGTTTTGAACAAAACGATTAACCCTCTGAACACCGAGCAGCTTGTCCTCACGGTGGGCTCGTTAAAGACCTGCATCTCTATGAAAACAGAGAGAAGTCAAAAATATCCTGAGTTATAACGTCATAAGAAATAAAGACAGTAAAACTAAAACAGATTATTTATTTTATAAAAATTAGTTAAAACCTGGACTCAACTACTTCTTTCCAAGCGTTCACAGGTGTCACTGACACGGTAATAAGTGATTTACTTCCCTGATTAGTGCAGAGTTTCTGTTGTTGTTCATGCAAATGGTTTATTTTGGGAAATACTTTAAATGATAAAGTACAGGAATTCAGATTAATTATCACAGTTGTGTGCTTAGATTTGCTTCATTTCCCCCAATGGAGCTGCAGATGAGTAGTTAACAGGACCATGCAAAGATGTCGAAAGTCTGAAAACTCACTTTTACACTTTCTGGCACTGATAAATAGTTTGACAGACTTGACAGACTTTCTTTATTGTCATTGCACAAAAACAACAACCATGAATCTGGCAATGAAGTGTCTGAAACTTGTAAGTACTGTGAAACTATAACTATAAATATATCTATATCTATGTATAAAAGTAGTGCAAAGTAAAAAAAAGAGCTAAATATAAATAGTGTAAAAATAAAAAGAATCATGTATAAACCAGAACAAAAAAAATAGCAGTGTCAAGAATATATACATGAAATCAAATATTGCACATTGATACAGTTTCAAACCTACCGGCTGGTGTTTGGGTTCAGCCAATCAGGTCGTCAATATTCTCCTCCTCTGTGGCTCTCAGCCCCACATCCAGCGGTTCACATATTTAAAGAAGTAAATCTGTACTCAAAGAGCAGCTGTGTGATTCACTAAAACCCTGGACGCTGATGCTGTTGCAAATATGAATCAATAATTAGTACGCAATGCATTTGTTGGGGACTATTTTCAGCTGTGGAGGGATACATATTTAGTGTTTAGAGCAGCTGCGGGTCGTATGTTTGAGGTCATGAAGACACATATCAGCTGGTGCAACAGTGGGTGGATCACTGTTTATGTAGGTTTTGGAAAATAATTCATTAGTCCACGTTGTTAAAGAGGAAATACGAAGATGTCAGCCTCGGCTCTGGGACGCTGTGATGGGTGTTTTCTCTACACATTACGTACTTGTTATAACTTTTCATATGTTCGTGTAACCTGCCAACACATCCTAAATCGCTGCTCCGTCTCTCACAATCTGCACACTGATAACCATTGTCTGTCAGAAGGTGCTGATTATGAGATTTTCTGGGTTTACTACCTGTTGGATTCTTGGCCCTCCATCAGCTCGCTAGCTTTTGTGACTTATGACAAAGCACCATAATTACATCAGGTTATTTCCATAAGTTTTGTCAGTAGCTCCTTTGTGTCCTGGCCGTCCGGGCTGTGTGTCTCCTGGGCATCGGCTTATCTTATGGTGGGGGGAGGGGGGAGGTTAAAGGTCCAAACGTCTTGGCGTTTACACGTGAGATGGTCGCCATTTTTTCAGGCTTTTAAATGAGAGCTGGCTGTTTGTCCGTCGCTGTCAGGGAATCCCACCGGGCGAGACCAGATCGGGGAAGGCCTTGCTGCACCTTCCAATCACTCACATTCAGGTGAAGCGTGTGGGGCACGGCTCTGTGGGCCAAGCTGTCAAGCATGCATCTTCATAGTGTCCCGGAAGGTCGTGGGTAAGCTGCCCGAGGCCTGAGAGGAGGATTAGGAGGACCTGCACCATGTGTAAACATTTGGGTAAACCCCCTCTGCCCGCCTCCTCCGTCGCCTCTGGGCCGCTCACCTGTCTCAGTGGGTGGAGGCTGCAGGAGGAACGAATACCAAGAAACTCCCTGACCTGGATTCACTCAGCCACGCTGACACTGAGCGAATCTGAGGCGTCGGCTCTTTTTTAAAAAAAACAAATTAACGCATCACCT